AACTCAGGCATGATCTGCAGCACTGGAGTCACAACCACATCATTGCCCAGTCCCTCGGAGGCTGACGACGGCGGACGGGCTCTAGGGGAGAAACGACCATGAAGCTCGACACCCAACTCGACCTCGAAGTTGTCAACAGGCACAACCAAAGGACGCAATACATGAGCAGACTGCAACACAGGCGGCGCCATGGAGCGCTCACCAAGTGCAGCCTCAACACGGACCATGAAGCTCTCCATCCGCAACATCCAACCTTGCATGGAGTCAATGACATCACGCAGAGGCTGAACCGTCTCCTGAAGCTGGAGGGAAGTCATACCAAGGAGCTCAGAGTTCAGCAGCTTGGCCTGCTGCTCCAAGGCAGGTCGCACTGGGAAATCCGCCGAGGCCATAGAGCCAGCAGGACCAACAACGATCGATGCCCAAGAATCATGGCAAAATGTCTTCGAGAGGTGCGAGGGTTCTTTCTGAACCTTGCGAGGAGCTGGAGCTTGTTGGTGCCCGAGGAGGCGTGGCAACGGTGACACGATAGGGCTTCCCAAAAAGCTAAGGAGACGCCAGGCATTGCGGCACTCACGCGCTCGATGACCATTCTCAAGACACGAGAACACCTAAAAGGATCTCGACAAACCGCTGCACGGTGGCCAGGAAGGAGGCATCTGCAACATCTACCCCGAAGCCAAGCAGGGACAGGACGGGGAGCCAATGCAGGGACCGGAGAGTCCAGACATTGCATGTTGCGCCGCGGCAGCACCTCCTGCCAATCTCCGCACGCATCCGCATCACACATCACACCTGACCGAGAAGCCGGAGCTGAGGATTTGGCAGCCGGCGGCGGCGTCCGCGGGGCTATTTCATCATCATCCTCGTTGTCTTCGTCGTCTGTGAGGGAGCTCCACGAAACAGATCGCTCCGGGTCCAGACTCGGTGCGGTGCCGGCAGGTGTTGATGACGACGTCACTTCCACAATAGTAGTGGGCGATGTAGCACAGCCAGTAGCAGCCGGTGGTGATGGCGGGGCTTCTACAGCAGTCCTGTCTACTGCCGGCGCTGCTGCGTCACTGACATGGCCCTCGTGCCATCCGTTGGTGGAGATGCAGCAGATGATCCAGGAGCCTCGCTGGTGGCAGCAGGAAGCCGCCGGCACTGATGTGGTGGTAGACAGCCTTCTAGCCCTTTAGCGTTTCTTTTTATGGATCGGTGGTTAAGGGTCCGGCCCGTGTATCCCACCTATGCAAATGTGTACGTTCTCTTCTTATATACGTGAATAGTGCTAAGGAGCCAGTGACCGAAACCGAACGTGCCCCCCATCAAAGCACAAAAATGGGAAAAGACTTCCCCTATTCTCTCGGTCAGTGACAAGATGAGATCAATTCTAACACAACTGATACTTGCATTAAAATAAATATTTTTACATAGGAACTTGTAGTACATCTCTAGGCAGCAAACCGGAAGCACAAGAAAACTGTCACACTCACTTCCTGATAGTAGTTCATAACTACGTAATTAAACATCTACCCTGCTAATAACAGTAAAGGACAGCAGTACACGTACCAGGACCGGACCTATTTTAGTAGCAGGTACATTTCCAAAGCGGGACACTACATTACCACTACACTACACGCACTGATAGTAGTAGGAGTAGTAAAGAAGAAGAGGAGGCCAACGTCTACCCTGCCCGCATGGCCCAGCCACGTCATCACACAGCACGCCTCGGCCTCAGCCTTGCCTCCAGCGGAGCTGCCATCTCACACGACAGCCTCAGCACCTCAGACAGGTCCACGCCACCTGACCCGTCGGACGACGGCGGCGTCCACTCGAACTCGTGCAGCAGCGTGGCAACCCAGAATCCAACGGTGGCGATCGCGAGCGACTTGCCGGGGCAGCTCCGCCTGCCCGACCCGAACGGCGCGAGCCTGAGATCGGAACCCGTTACAGAGAACTCAGCGCCGGCGGCAGCGTGGTCCGACGATGACCCGGCGAGGAACCGTTCTGGCTTGAACTCCGCCGGCTTGACCCACACGGTTGGGTCGTGGGTTATGGCCCACATGTTGACCATGGCAGTGGTCCCCGCGGGAACATGTAACCCATCTACGTGGACGTCAGACGTGGCAAGCCGCGCCCACGACAGCAGTGGGCCCGGTGGGTGAAGGCGCAGGACCTCCTTGACTACGGCCTGGAGAAAGACGAGCGAGGCGGCGTCCGACTCGGTCACGGCCCGGTTCGGCCCGACCACCCGGTCCAGCTCCTCGTGGACCCTCGCCTGCACGTCTTGGTGCAGCATCAGCCGGGCCAGCACCCATTCGATCACCACTGCCACGGTGTCGGTGCCACGAAAGATCATCTCCTGCAACCCACACAGAAAACATTTTTCGTTATGAGCAACCTAATTATCGGACGCATGCATATTTAAGTGTCCATTCGTCACCCCGCAAAACAAAAAAAGTGTCCATTCGTGTTTCCATTTAAGCGTATGAACAAACATACCCAGAGGACGGCGATCATGTCGGCGTCGGAGAGCTTGTCGCTTCCTTGGAGGGAGAGCAGGACGTCGGTGAAGTCTACCACGGCGTCGTCGTCGTCGTTCAGGGCGGCACGGTGCTCGTCGATGATCCTGCCGACGAAGCGGTTCACGCGGGGGACGAGGGCGGAGCACCTGGACCGGATCTTCTGCAGGTCGAAGCGCGCGAGCCACGGGAGGTGGTCGGACCAATTGAGCTGGCCGAGCAGGTCGTAGCCTTCGTCGACCAGGCTCTTCAGCTCCGCGGCCTCCCCGCTCCCCGCCTCGTCCAGCTCGTACCTCCGGCCGAAAACGGACCACATCACGTTGTGCAGCGACGCGCGTTTCAGGAACCGCCGCGCCTCGACGTGCTTGACGCCAGCGCCGCCCACGGGCCTCATGGCATCCACCATCTGGTGCGCGATCACTGCGCGCTGCGCGGCGGAGGCGGCCACCTGCCGCGGCGAGAAGAGGTGCGAGGACGACACCCGGCGGAGCGTGCGCCAGTAGGCGCCGTAGGGGGCGAACCCGATGGCGCGATGGAACATAAGCCCGTAGGCGGACTCCTTGACCGGCCGGTCGGCGAACGCCGGGCTAGCCAGCAGCTCTCTCGCCACGTCAGGGTCGGCGGTCACCACCACCCTGGTCTCTCCCATGGAGAACGACATGAGCCGCCGGCGCCTGACGTTTCCCGCCGCCGCCGCCGCGAGCTTCCGGTGCGCGAGGCCGGTCATGAGGCCCATACTGCCGATCACGGGGAAGCCCCGTGGCCCCGGGATACGGGCCTCGCCAATGCCCAGACCCTTCCTCCTCCACCAATACCTCCCCCACGCCGCACCACCCTGAGACGCCCAGTGCAGGAGCGACGTGACGACGAAGGCGGCGAGGAGAACGACAACAAAGCCTACCACGCGGTAAGGCTCGCCGTCGCCGTTGCCGCAGCATTTGGCGGCGAGGGAAACGTACAGCAGCCAGCCGCACTCCTCGGATGGAGCCATGTCAACGTACGTGCACGTACCTTTTCCCTCGTTCTCGCGCTGAGGCCGAATGGGAAGAACACTAGGAGGCGAAATGAAAGGACGGATTTGTTGTTCGCAGCTGGAAAGTCAAGTGCAGTTTGAGTTTGGGAGGACGAGACCGCGGGGCAACGCCTTTTATAGCGGCGGAATCCATGTAAAGTGATGCTATCTCTGGAATATGTATCATCTACTCCCTCCATCCGAAAATACTTGTCATCGAAATGGACAAAAAAAGATGTATCTCAAACTAAAATACGTCTAGATACACCCCTTTTATCCATTTTGATGATAAGTATTTTCGGACGAAGAGAGTATTAAAGAAGGAAAGGGGTTAAGGAAACCCTCCACAACACAAGTAGTGTTACATGTGATTACAAGCAAGCACTACTCTACCGGCCACAACCGACTCAACATGTCCCGCCCCACTCTCACGTTAATCCACCTAGCTAGCTCCACTAAGAGATGGTCGAGGTCGTTTTTGATTAATCCCGCATGCTTTCAGTTCGTGCACTCAAGGTGCACTGTCTCGAAGACCCGATGGAGGGAGGGCGTTGCACCGTCGAATACGATGGCGTTTCGATGTTTTCATAGGGTCCACATACCTAACATGTAGATCGTTTTGTTATCCTTTTCTTGGAGTCGGTTTTCTGTCCTTCTGGTGCACCACTCGGCCAGGACGTCTTGCTGCGTGGGCACGTTCAAGGGTGACTCCATGGCCATGCCAAGTATCGTCCACATTTGTGTGGAGAAGACGCATTGGAAAAGTAGGTGGTTTATCGTCTCATCTTGTTGCTCGCAGAACGGGCACTTGTCCTGGTGGGGGAGACCTCTTCGTGCTAGTCGATCAGACGTCCAGTACCTATTTTTGATTGCCACCCATGAGAAGAAATTACACTGGAGCAGGGCTCGCGACCTCCATGTGAAGGAGTCGGGGAGACTTCTTTACCCTAGAACTTGGCGGCATATGCTGATCTTGTTGAGAAACATCCGTTCTTCTCCCAGTCCCAAGAAATTGTATCTGGGACCTCATTGTGTAGATGGACCATGGCCGTGCGATCCCATACATCAAAGAACTCGAGTAGCTGTTCCACCGGCAGCTCAAGGCCAAAGTCTCGCGTCCAGGACCCATGCACTAGGGCTTCTTGTACTGTTCTCGTTGTTCTAATTCTGTTTGATACGCCGTTGTATATATTTGGTGCAAGTTCTTTCACCCGGTAGCCCTGGAGCCAGCGATCTTCCCAGAACAGGGTCGTGCTTCCGTTCCCAATAGTGACGTTGGTAGCTGCTTTGAACAGGTCCATGGATTCCTTGGGCACATTGATTTGGAATTCGCTCCACGGCCGCAAAGGGTCGGTACGTTGCAACCACGGCCATCATTCCCTACATAGCACAGTTCAATGACCCGGGATTCGGAAGTCCTAGTCCTCCTGCCCACTTGGGCGTGCATACCGTGTCCCAAGCTACTGCACAGTTTTCACCATTTGCCTGATCTTTTCCACACCATAGAAATCCCTGGCATATCTTCGTCATTGCAAGAAGTTTTTTGTGGGATGTCCAGTGCCATCATCGCATGGATCGGGATTGCGCATAAGACTGATTGCACCAGCAGCAAGCGACCACTCTTGGGCAGGATGTTGTGCGCCAAGTGGGTAGGCGCACGGCCATTTGGTCCACCAGATCATGCTATCTCACAAGTGTCTAAGTAAGATAAATGATTTTTTAAAACTCCACCCATATATTGATCAAATAAAAGAGTCTTACAATGGGCACAATGGAGACAGAGATCACGGCTTACCAAGATTTGAGTGGGGGATGCGACCTGTAAATTCTTTCTATTGAGAGCCAACGGTCGGAGAGGGAAGAACTACATCACTAAGTTAGGCCCACCTTCTGGGGAGGTTTCTGATCATGGGGACAAGGCCAAGCTCATTTTTGATCACTTCAACTCTCTGCTTGGGACTCCTCCTACACATGGGATCAAAATGAACTGGGCGGCCCTGGGTATTCCATCCTCGAACTTGCAACATCTGGACTCCCAATTCAGTACTGAGGAGGTTAAAAAGGTAGTTTTTGATATCCATGATGAGAAGGCTCCGGGGCCGGATGATTTCATCGGGGGCTTCTTCAAGAGGTTCTGGTCCTTGATTGTTGACGACATTTGCAATGCACCGAACCAACTTGACCAGTTACTTAACTCTACCTTGATCGTTTTGCTGCCTAAGAAGGTGGACGCCACTAAAGTTGGAGATTACCGCCCGGTGAGTCTCATGCACAACATTGCCAAGATTGCCTGTAAGGTGCTTGCAAACCGCCTGGGTCCAGAGTTGCACATATTGATCTCGCATAGTCAGAGTGCATTTATCCGGGGTAGGTGCATTCAGGACAACTTCCTCTATGTCCAGAATGTGATAAAAGAAGCCCATAAGAAGAAGAAGCCTCTCCTGTTCCTTAAATTGGATATTGCCAAGGCGTTTGACTCTGTTAGCTGGCCTTACTTGCTGGAGGTGATGGAAGCGTTTGGCTTTGGTCAAAGATGGAGAGACATGATTAGCATCCTACTTTCGACGGCTTCTTCTCGAGTTATGCTCAATGGATCCCCTGGAATTCCTTTTCTGCACAGGAAGGGATTGAGGCAGGGAGATACCCTATCCGCCATGTTATTCATTCTTGCCTTGGACCCCTTGCAGCGGCTGTTTCAGAGGGCAACCGAGGCAAACATTCTATCTCCCATTCCATTACGAGTTGCCCGGCTCCGGACGAGTTTCTGTGCTGATGATGCGGCCCTGTTTGCGAACCCTTGTTGTGCTGAGTTAGCCGCCTTGAAGCGGATCCTCTCGAGCGTTGGAGAGATTTCTAGACTAGAGATAAATGAGGAAAAATGTGTTCTGTATCCAATCCAATGCAATGATCTGAACATCGCTGAATTGCTCCAACGCTTCGGTGGGCCTTGTGGTTCTTTCCCTTGCACTTATTTGGGGCTCCCACTCTCCACTCGCAAGCTTCGGCGGATTGAGCTGCAACCACTGTTGGATAAGGGGGCGGCCAAGTTGAAGGCGTGGAAAGGAAAGCTTCTGCAGCGCACTGGACAGCTCCCGCTGATCAACTCGATGTTTACTAACACAGTGACCTATTTCCTGAGAATATTTGCTCATTACAAATGGTTCGTCAAGAAGCTTGACAAAATGAGAAGAAATTTCCTCTGGAATGCGGATTAAGAAGCTCATGGGGGCAAATGTTTAGTTAATTGGAGACGTATCTGTGCGCCTAAAGCAGTTGGAGGACTTGGCATCAAAGACCTCCTCGGCCTTTAGCACAGCCCTGCGGCTGCGGGGGCCTTAGTTTGAATGGGACGAATTGGATAGACCGTGGAAAGGGACACAAATGCCTTGTGAGGCTGCGGACCGCCAGCTCTTTCAGTCCTGCACCAAAATTTCCGTGGGAAGTGGAGTAAGGACTGCTTTCTGGTCTGATCAATGGATAGATGGGATGGCACACCTATGGAGCTGGCTCCTGGTCTCTTTAACCTTGCAAGACACAAGCAAATCTCAGTTGCGGATGCTATCTGGGAGGGCGGTTGGATGAAAGGTCTACAGCGCATGACCACTGTTGATCTGCTGCATTCCTTTGTCACTCTTTGGCATAAAGTTCAACAATTCCAAGCGAACGAGGAGGATGACAAGATTACTTGGAATCTCACGGCCAATGGAGACTACTCTGCCAAGTCGGCCTATGAACAACTATTCATTGCTCGGATCCCAATGCCACGTTTGCTCAAAATGTGGAAGATTAAATGTGAATCAAAAGTTAAAATTTTCATTTGGACTTTAATCCAGAATAGGCTTTGGACGGCTGATCGCTTGCAACGCAGAGGTTGGGAACATCAGGCCACTTGCTATGCCTGTGATCAGGTCCTGGAGTCAGCTACCCACCTCATTTTGGGATGTACTTTTGCTAAGGAGGTCTAGCATTTGATGGGGGATCAGTTCAAGGATGCAGCTGATGCTGCTTCACAAGCTACTTCAATCAACAGTTGATGGGACAGACCTTCAAGCTGAAAAGAAAATGGACTTGGGTTGATGAGTGTATGGTGGCGATCTATGTGGCCTGGAACCTTTGGAATAAGCGCAACAACCATATTTTTAAGCAGGAAAGACGCACTGCTGCGAGCGTTTGCTCTCTGATTAGAGAAGAGTTAAGCCTCCTGAAGGAGGCTTGGGAGTAGTTCCTTTGCTGTTTGTCCAGGATTCATTTCGCATCTCTGGCCTAGCGTGTGTCTCTTTTTGTGTCTTCCCGAACGATTTTCAGTCTGTTGTACAGTTTGTTCCTTCTCTTAAATGAAAAGGCAGAGCACCTACAATTCCGGTCAAAAAAAAAAAAACAAGAGTCGTACAATCAAAGAAAAGGCATGTCCTATCTTAATTAAGAGATGATCCTTTATTAGTAATTGTCTCACCACATATTTAGAGATATTTTTTGTTATAAAAAATAAGACGAAGAAATAACTCATTGTATAGTATTTTTTATTGTCTTCTAACGAATAAATGACGGACCTAAGATAAGATAGTCTTATTAACTGCTAATCCATGCCTAATGTGTGCTTGCCTTGTGTCTGTGTGGCTAAGGCTGCAAGAAAAGCTTGAGGGCTCGTGAGTGGTTCAAAATTGACTCGGAAAGAAATGAATAGTGGATGACTACTATATGTAGCTCAATCGAGAGACAAACCGATCTTGACGCAATATTGGCTTGCTGGATACCTTGATAAAATATAATTATATTAAGTATTCCTAGTATATATTAAAAAAAACAGGTGAATTTATAGTTATATGCATTGTGTATGATTTTTCTCGATTTTATCTACTAGCAGAAACATGAAAGCTTGATTGACAACAAGTTAGGCTTTAATAGCCGTGTGTTAAATATCCTATTATTTTTTCTAAAGTTTAAGAATAGACACACCTTCATTTTACTTTCTTGCTAGT